TTCAGACCACACTCTTTTCATCTGTCGGTGAGGTTCGTCACGTGTCTAATGTGTAGGGCTATTAAGAAGCGTAGGTAAGTGCTATTTGTAAAGTGTGCAGACACTGTCTAACACATAGTAAGTATCGTAGAACGATTTGATTAAAAAGTTATAAAACATATTTGATCATTCTGATGATGCTTTAGTTAAATTAGATTTTAATCATGTGGTCAAGATTGTCAACAATTTTCCTGTTTCAGTTACTGAAGTTGTTCTCGTAATGCTCCCTTACTTTAAATTAGAATAACTTTCATTATGCTTTACACATTTGTCATATTCTACAGTCCTTTAAAAAGAGAGTGCAAGCAAAATGGAACTCTACACCAATTGCAGAAATATGCATGTACAAGGATATACATGCCATTTACTGTAGTGTTTGCAGTGGGGAAAAATTTGGAAATAATATAGATATTTATCATTGGAAGACTGTAATAATTGTGGCATACTCAACAAAACATAACAGAAGACATTATTTAAAATAAATGTAAGTTTTCATGGAAGTAATACGAATACAGTTTTAAAGCAACATTAAGCACAAGAGGCCTAGAAGAATATGTTACCAGGAACCAATCCTCACCATCACACAATGTCCTCATGTGACAAATGTGCCCACTGGCTCAATAATTAATAAAAGAAAGATTAAAAATAATGTATTTGATAAGATAAATATTAAACATAAAACTAAATAAAGACTATCATATATAAAGTAAACCATATACATTTTTAAAACCTGAAAGATGTATATTATTTTGGATACATACATATGTATAAAATGTATAAAAAACAGGAACCTGAAGGATACACAATGATATCAAGATGATTTAATGCTTTTTTTTTCTTGCGTCGGAGTCTCATTCCATCGCCCAGGCTGGAGTGCAGTGGCACACTCACCGCTACCCCAGCACCAACCTGCTGGGCTCCGGCGATCCTTCCACTTCAGCCTTCCAAGGAGCTGGAACCACAGGCGCGCACTACCATGCATGGCTAGTTTTCTATTTATCGTAAAGACAAGGACTCGCTAAATTGCCCCGGCCGTTCTCGAACCCACGGACCCAGGAAATCAATCCACTTGCCTTGGCCTCCCAAAGAGCCGGGATGACAGGCTGAGCCACCATGCCTGGCCAATTTGATGTCTTAATGGAGGAATAGAAATGGAATTTGCCCGGGAGAGAGAGGGGCTTCCGTCTTGTCTGTAATGTCTTATTTCTGAAAAAAATCTTAAACAAACAGAGCAAGACATTAATATTAAATCAGGATGGAGGGTACATTATTACATTTTCTCTAATCTTTTATGTATATTTGAACATATTAATAATAAAAATAATAATAATAAACAGAATGCATTAAATGCCAAACCATAATTCTGAAGTTTTTTACCCATGGATTTTGCTACTTTTCCCAGTTAATTTTAAAAGAGGCTGGGGGATTTCAAAACATTAACATATTACCAATTGTGCTGATGTTTCTTGTGGCCCTATTTCACGAGATTTAGGCAGTGCTTTGGCACAAGGGCCCCAAGGAATGCATTTTCAATATTCTAGAAAGAGTTTTAATGGTCTGTTGTACGTCAGTGTTAATGAGAGTCATGTGGATAAACCCCCAAGGAGTCTTTTTAATGATTGCCTTTGTTTGCTCAGCCAAAAATAAAAAATCCTTCCTCTTGCATTTTTGGATAATTCTGCTAAGCAAGTGTGTTGTGTATTTCCAGGTGCTTCAAATGAAACAACCTGGAAGCATTTATTTAGGGTGTTTTGCTTTGGAAACTTCTTCAGCAAAACAGTAAAGCAGCTAACTATTTCTTTGAATCTATGTAGTGAATTACACTTTGACACAGTATTGACCAGGGGAACAAATGGCACTATGACCTGTTTTTCCCGTGCTGTGTATTGAGAGGTGGCTGGTGTGCTCTGAGTTTCGTGAGTCTCTGTTCACTGTGTAAATTAAGTGAGACAAAGACCTGTGACTCTAGAATTGTAGCTCGAAAGTTAAATATGTCGCTGACTTTTTATGCTGAGCAGTGCATTATGCATAATAAATTAATTTTGTCAGATGTCTACATCCCAACTAGATAACAATTCTCATTGACTGGAACAGGAATGCTTATAGTAGATGTATTTTACGTGCATCAGCTTCAATGGTATTTAACATTGCTGACATTATTAAACATGAAATTTATTTATACATATATATTATTTACTGACTGCCTGTCATGCACTGCTGGGTCTAGGGATAAAGTCATGACCAAAACAATGCCACTGTCTTCAAATTGTGAATAATCTAATGTGCAATAGAGTCAAGAAAATGGATAATTTTGCGACAGAAAGAAAAGTACTCTATGTGGGGTCAGCAAAGGGTGTGAAGGGAGCACAGAGCAGGGAAACCCAGCCCAGTCAAAGGTGGTAAGTCCCTCCAGGAAGACTCACTGACAGAAGCATATATGCTGATCCTTCCTGTACGCGGAGGAAACAGCACACGGCAAGGCCCAGAGACAAGAGAAAGCCTACTTGGGGCCAAGTCTTCAGGTCAATTCTTTGGTCTGAAGAGTCTTCACCACTCTGTGGCTGGATCTCTTGGGCGTCCTAGCCCAAGTCATCCTGAGAATGACCATCGGACATTGACCCCCTGAAGGTCCTACATCTGATCCTCAGCCTAATGCCCAGGACTCACCTGAGACCAAGGAAATCAGAATTTCTAGGGACCAGTTCCAGGCATTGAGATTTTTGAAAGGCTTTCAAACTGGTGTAAATGTGCAGTCAGTTTGAGGATGACTGATTTACAGGATAAATCCTGACAGGTATGTTGATAATCGAATATGCAGGCAAATGAGAGAGGCAGAAGTACTGTGCAAGGACATTTCCAGAATGAGCTGGCTGTGAAGAAGCGACATCTCCCGGCCTTCTCAAAACCATGCGAAGAGTGACTCCAGCATGGCTCTCGACATACTCAGATGGATAGCATTTCACGTTTTTTTCAATTCTTTAATTGATCTATTCCAAAATCTCTTAATTAACCCTTGCTGTATGTTCATATGCTAGGTTCTGTGGATAATATATGAGTAAGATATTAACTCTATCTAACAAAAACTTCTAGTCCAGCGAAGAGACAGTTTCTAAGTACTCACAATCATGTGAAAGAATTATGCAGAGGTGAGTACACATTGGCCAGTTGGAAAGACCAGAGAAAAGCTAGATTTTGAAGAATGAATAGAAGTTAGTGAGATGGAGAGTACAGTTCACTGAGACAGGAAGGCACTGAGTATGCTTAGAGCATAGGCTTGGGAACCACGGCATCAAAAACTAGGCTGAAAAACTGGATTGGTTCTAAAGGTCAAGAGACCCTTGTCTCCTTGTTGCCATTAGCCACAACCCATGATCTTTCTATGTAGCTGAAAATCTTTGTATTTACAAGTTTCCTTAGGGTTGGAAAGATCACCTCATGTGATGGTCACTGGAATAAAGCTAAAAGCATAAGTTAGGAGTTCAAGGTTCTGAGAGTGGCCCAAAGACAGATGGGGATGCAGGGCTCTGTTAAAGGTCTTGGGGACCAGCTGAAGCCTAGCTAAACTAGGACCAACGTTGTGTATCACTGGGCAGGCAGCCTCTAAGACAGCCTCCAAGGATTCCTGCCTCCTGGTCTCCACAGTTTTATAAAACTCTTTCCCCTTGAGTGTGATCTGGACTTATTCACTCTCTTCTGAAAATCAAAGTTGAAGTGTCATTTTTGAAATTAGGTTATAAAAAAAACTAACCTTTCTCTCTTCAGTGTTTTCTCTCTCTCTCTCTCTCTCTCTCTTTCTCCTCTCTGTCTCTCTTTCTCTCTCTCTCTCTCTCTCTCACTCTCTCTCTCCCTCTCCCTCCCTCTCCCTCCCTCCCTCCCCACTCTTCATCTTGGGGTCAACCAACTGCCATGTTTTGAGACAGTGCTGTGCAAAGGCCCTTGTGTGATGGATCAAGTTCTTCTAGTAACCATATGAGTATTTGAAACAGATCTCCTCAGTCGGTCCTTCAGATGACACTGCAACCCTAACTGAGAGCTTGGCTGAAACTTACTGGGAGACCTCAAACCAGAGACATTCATTTGAGACACCCAGATTCTCAATCCACAAAAGCTGTGAGATGATAAACATTTATTTTCAGCAGCTCCATTTGGGATAATTTGTTATTCAGCCACAAATAATGCATGTAGTCACAGTTTATTCCTCATACTCTAGGAAGACCTCAAAGGTAAACTACAAAGTTGTCATTTTTGTTAATCATAATTGCTCCCCCTTGAGAAGTGAGGTCTATCTCAGACCTGAAATATTTGTGAAAACAAGAGTGAAGAAGTAAAGGATTCAGTCTGTTTTGATGCTACTAGTTTAAGAGATAAAGTGATGAAGATGGTAGCTGTGGTCAGCATTAAGACTGTGGGCAAGTGACACTCTTTTCCATTCAAGAGTGACCCCCAATTTCCTCTCTCTCCCCCTGACCTACATACCACCAGAGCGCATGTAGTGTTCAAAGCTGATTAAGAACTCAGGCTAGCATGTCGAAGTCTTACTACAGACCCACTGCCAAGCAGGAGTCTTTTTTTTCTGTTTGGCTGCCTTCTTTTCATTTGCATGTATTTTACCACAATCCTGAAATTCAGGATGTTTTAGAATACGTGTGTTGATGCAGCTTTTCTGATACAGCTTTTACGTTACGTAATTATTTTTTCCTTCAATGTTCACAAGAAAACATCTTGCATGGAAAGATAATAACCTATATATAGTCTTACTGTGGCATAGAAACTAGCTTGAACAGCCAAAACCTACAGTGAAGACCATTGCCAAATAAGATCACACGCGTCTCTGATACATTATTTCATTTGTTTAGACACTTGGTAAGTTATGACTTAAAAAATGATGTTGCAGCACTTTAGAACCCTTCAGAACATACATGTCAAGAACCTAATCCGCTTCCTCTCACCTTTGAACACAGGAGAAGAGAACCTCCTGGCGATTTTACGACGAAGATGGTGGAAGTACATGATTTTGGGACTCATAGACCTGGAAGCAAACTACCTAGTAGTCAAGGCTTACCAGTACACGACCCTGACCAGCATCCAGGTACCAGTGGTTCTTCTTCCCTCTCAGCTTCCTAATTCCAGAATCTAGATGTAGTTTACTTTCGGCTTAGTCTCTGGGAATCTGTCTTCTATGCTTTAAGTTTTGCACCAAGAGGGAAATTGGCTGTATAAAAATTAACTTGAATTGTATTTATATATCTTCTTAATTTTTCTTAATTCGAGTATACTTGGACATCTTTTTTCTCTTTGTTCTGAATATACCAACATTACTATTGAAAACATAGAAAACAATACGTGGCTTTGAATGCTGCCAACTAATCTTATGTTAGCTGGAGATTATTAATGAGTAAAAGACAAATCAGTTTTAATCACAACTTATAACATTTTAGAATGGGAATAGACTTTTATTAAATAATCAAAATACTTAGTAATCTTTTTGTGTAGCTGTTTTTATTTATACAACTTGCTGTCTGAAGAGACAGGGTTTTTCCTAAAGGGACAAGGATTCAATTCCTAAAATAGCCTGTGCATGAAGATAGCTTCTGTCTCTCTCCCTCTCTCTCTCTCCCTCTCTCACATACACACACACAACCACAATTTCAAGTTTCCTTTAGATAATCACAATTTTTCCAGACTTTTATATCCCTCATTACACTGTAAATAACAAACTGGACTATTTTTATTTCATCCTTATTTCTCTCTGTGTGGCAGTATTATTAATTTCACAGCCATTCCAAAACACTAGGATAAAAGCAGAACGGAACATTGCTCTCACACCAGAGTTAGTTTAGAGTTGATACTTCAGCAAAATTCCCGTCCTCCTTCCAATTTGCTAAGGAACAAGAATAACACCAGTGAATAAGCAAGCAGCAAAGGGCCTGAATAAACTTGGAGGCCACAGACCGGGTAGAAAGCTATCCAAACCTGCGCTAGTCTTTCTGCCATCGGATTTTCGAATGAGCTTCAAGACGGCTTGAAATAAAAGTAGTTACTGGCAGCATTTTTCTGTGGCCGCTTCCACGTGCATTCTGTATCCTGAGAGCTTTGTGGGATAGCTTCCTGGTGAAGACGTGTGCTGAAGAACGAGGAGGACTGCTCAGGCGGACACAAGCCTGGCCTCTCCGTGTGGCCTCAGCACCACGTGGCTCTTGGACCGGTGTGGGAAGAGCTACAAGGCAACAGTCAGATGCCTGTGAGCACCCTGGCACTGTCTGCCTCCTGGCACTGCCCTTTGTAAAAATGTGCTATATGAAGTCTGTACTCTCCCTTGAGCCTTCTCTTCTCCGTCTTTGAGCGCCCTCCTCTCCCTGAAGTTGACTTTCTTATTTCTCTTTGTTTCTTTTCCACTTTTTCCACGATGAAAAATTACTCCCCAAATGCCCTTATGCACAATGTATAACATTTCTTTTGGTTAAAAAAGAAATGTGGGCATGTTCCCACCCTCTGTTCTCTGTATATCATCAATGTGCTTAGTAAGATTTTATGCATCTTGAAAGCAAGGACTGTGACTTTTCAGATTAATTTATAAATCTAACAGGTATAACATTATGCATAGATTGGCATTTAGACATAAACACACCAAATTTAAATATGATTTACCCATTATCATAGGACTTCCCTAGTTACATTTCCTTTGTTTTGTCTAAGATCTCACCGAATTCCAAGAAAACACACACACAAGACAGTTGCAAACTCTGAAAGGAGCATACGTTGGTACATATCTTTTCTCTCACAGTAATAGCTATGCTGTCTCCATATTTACATCTCTGGACAATAAAGTCTTAAAGTGGAAAACCCTTCAGATAGGTAGTTGCACTAACACTAAGCATACCGTATAAAAGTGAAATGAATTTCATTAAATGGGTAAATTTACCACAGACTTAATTTTGAAAACCCTTTACATGTTTTGAGTTAAATACTAATACATTGAAAAAATCATGAAAACCAAAATCACTGGCAATGTTCTATTTGTATATATAGCGTCAGTTATTTAGTATAATGAATTATCTGAAGTTACCCCCAAAAAAGTTCTTTGGTTTTCTTTTTCCACCTCCCTCTCTCTTTCTTCTTCTTCAGTTAGAAACAGGGTGTAAGAATAGGCTGTGTCCAGTGTAGCAATTCCTAAAAGATCTAAAAATCAAGCTTTCATATGACCTCACAACCCCCCTACTGGTAATACACCCGGGGAAACTCAAATCACTCTATGAAAAAGATACCTGCACACGCATGTTTATTGGAGCATTGTTCACAGTAGCAAGAACATGGAACCAACCATGCTGCCCATCAAAAGAGGACTGGAGAAAAAAAAAGTGATGCATATACACGATGGAATATTGCACAGCCACAAAGAAGGATAAAAATCATCAACTTCACAGCCACCTAGATGGACTTAGAGTCTATAATACTTAGCAAGCTATCACAGAAACAAAGAACTAGGTACCACATGTTCTCACTTATAAGCGGACCTTGAAAAATTATCGAAATGCTGTAAGAAAAGGATTGGCAGTAGTGAGAAACTGCCATGGGGAAGGGGCAGGGGTGGAGATGGGCTTGGCAGTGGCGGTAAGCTGCCGGGGAAGGGGGGCACACCTCATCAACAAGGGCACCTGCATAATGAACATTCGTATACCTAATCCTGAACTGTACCCCACATCTTTAAAATTAAAAAAATAAAATTAAAAAAAACCTGCTAGGTTACAAAAAAAGAATTGACTGTTTCCCATTGCAGATGCCCTATGAACACCTTATGTTATACACATACACAGTTGCTACATTTTAAAAAATTTTGTTTCATTTAAGTTTTAAAACAGAGTTTATTAGCAAGAAGAAGAGAAGGAAAAAAGGAAGATTCATGGCAGAAAGACCTGCCATAGGCAAGTTTTTCCAAAAGAAAAACTGCCTGTTACATTTTTAAATTCTTAATACCTCTGCTCAAGCTGTTTCTATTACTCATAATATCCTTTTCTCCTCTGTCCACCCCCCATTTATTTTAATATCCTCTGTACCATTTAGGATGCTTTCAAATTATAAATAAGAAAAAGCCCAAAGTCTTTTAAAATAGGAGAATTTATTGATTTTCATAACTGGAACGTCTAGAGAAAGAGAGATTTTCAGGATAGTTGACCAAATGTCTTCATGATGTTATCTGGGGCTTGGTTTTGTTTTTGTTTGTTTTTCATCTTTCCCCTCTTCTGCTCCTTCTGCTGGCTTTATCCTGAGTCAGGCTCCTTGCGTGGTTATAAGACGGCTATTAGTACAAATTAGGGGTGCATGGACGTTTTCCTTCATGGCCAATGAGAGACACAAAAGACACTGCCCACACCATCGAACCAAGGTCCAGAGCCCTATTCTGATTGGACCACACAAGTGGCCGGGGAAACGCTGTAAGTTAATGGACTTAGACCTGGATTGCCTGAGCCAATCCAGGAAGAGATTTCTCTCCATTAATTAGCCAGATGTTTCTCACTAGGAGTACTACTGGCATCTTGGGTAGACAGCACCCACTCCTAATCAGGGTGGAATCAGAGAAGCGGTTGGATGCAGAAGGAAGAGCCACGATGCCCCTACACCCAGCCTAGCTCTTGCCTCACCTCGGCAAACCCCACCCTGAGAACAGACTCTTCTGTCTCCAGTGGTGCTTTCTTTGTAGGCCCTGTTTCTTGCCTAAGAGTGGTGGTTACATATTCCCATCTACTTCACCACGTTTGTACTATTCATGATTTTTTAAGCTTTTTCACAGCAAGGATGATTTCTCACTCACCTTTGCATCTCTAGTACCTGGTAGAAAACCCAGCACATACTGGATATTCAATAAGTGTTTAAAGGGGCTAAGTTGCCTTTATTTCCGGCATTTGGGGGCACAGAAACTCCCAGCAATCCTCTACCTAAATTTAGAAGCCCCAGAATGTCCATACAGGTTTGGTGGGGAAAGGAAGAGAGGAATGTTGGCTGCGTGGCAAAACTGGACCTATTAGCACAGAGTCAAAAATTTTAAATGGGGCTACGAGGAATGAGGGGCGACTTCCCCCTTGGGGAAACAGTTGACTTCCATTTCTTCTGTTGAGCATGGAAAGGGCCCAAGAAGTTGTGGGTTCCTTAAGCACGATTCGTTTTTGCATGTAAACAGTGACAGTTTATTCTTAACAGCTGGTCCCCTGATTTCAGCCCATGTCACATACCATCACCAATCCATCCCACCACGTCTCTCAAATTAGCTATTTGACACCTTATTTAATGCGGAATTCTATGGAAAAGCTTATTTTAATTCTGTAGCAAGAAAAAATAATTCTAGTGAAACACCAATTGATCTTCATTGTACTTTACTGAGCAAAGAACAAGGAAGTAAAAAAGCAGTTGAATCTAACAGTTCTAGAATGATTTTGTCACCTACAACAAATAACTATTAAGTAATAAGAAGCAGTCAGAAGGCATCTGCTCTGGGAATTATCTCTGTACGGCTGATTATTAATGTAATTCTGTTTACTCACTGCAAACTGATGTAACTGACAGGGACCGATAGTGGTTTTTTCTTGTTTCTATAAATACGAATTGAGCTCATAATATGTGTTTTACTTACGCCAATCAATAAAGAAGACACGTTGATTGAGCATCTGAGAGATGCACCAGCCACTGCAGGTGACATAAAGAGAAATGACTCGGCCTGCCCTGAGGAACTTACGAACTGATAAAAGGAACACGAGACACGGTTTAATGACAGTGACGCCAAGAACGACAAAAGACCAGACACCTAAGTGCTGCTGTTTTCAAAAGAGGACACTGGTTATTTGCAAAGTCAAGGAAGTATCTGTTCAGATGGGTCTGTGAGACTGGGCAAAATGTGGGTACAGCTTTGCAATGAAGCTTAAAACAGAAGCCTGGGGGCAGAAAACTCTGGGAACATGACTGGAGAATGTTGTTCTCATTTGATTGAGAGTCTTTCAAAATAATTACGCCCATCCAGGCAACTTGGCAAGACCTCATCTCTGCAATAATTCAAAAAATTAGCCAGGCGTGGTAGCGCGCGCCTGTAGTTCCAGCCAC